TTTTACTCGTCATAAAACGATAAATAGTTTGTCAAATTTTTATTCATAAAAATGCAGTTTCGACTGCTTTTTATTTTATAAAATCCGTCTTCTTGCGCCATTAGAGGGCCTTTTAAATAATAGGTAGTCTGTTAGCGTTGGTCAGTAGTAGTCCAAATTCAATACGAACGTTTGTTTCTTGAAAATTTGATCACGATTTAAATACAGTATTTACTTTTAATATTACCGATATGTCATCGAAAAGAAAACGTGTTGTATTATCATGAAAAGACAAAGTATTTGTTTCGATTATCTGAATTTTTCCTTATCCGGACTACCTTCATCCCCAATTAGTCCAAATAATTGAGGTTCTACTGTAATACATTTTTAATAAATAATTAATGTGGGCTTATTTCTATTACATATTGTCATTTTTTGTTTTTTGCCTGAATTCTGAGTTTCCATTGCTGCTCGAGAGGTGGCATTGAAGTTGGTAACTTTGAAGTAATAGCATTTTTTGCTATTGTTTGCAATTTTTATGAAATTTTACAATTAGTGCTTCAAAATGCATTCAAAATATAGTAAAGCTAGCAGTGAAGATAAATGCAAACAGTTTAATTCTTTTGCCATGAAAACTAAACTGGGCTTTATAAAACTAGTGAATTAGATGGAAAAAAACTGCATTTATAAGGGTAAATGAGCATAATGTATTCTATAAAGTACATTGAAGGATTAAACATCAGCATTAAGTGGTTATTTTGTGTATGAATGTACTTTCTAGGTTAGTTTTCCACTTGTGAACATTTCGACATACAAGAAAAGCTTGGTAACCTAACCAATTCATAAGTAGGAGAGCACAGTATGTGATTTTTTTTAAACATTTTTGCAATTCATCTGGTATAAATGAGGAAAAAAATATATTTTTATAATAAGATTTTAAAAAGCAAAGATGGTCAATACTCCAATTACTCAATCTGGTTCTTATTTTAGTAATGAAAAGTCCTGCTACTGTCAATGCCCTTTCTGATTCAATTGATGTGGGTGGAATCGTCTTTAATGCATTTAAGAGAAGACGGATGTTATGTGTTTTTTCACCTGTAGCCTGGAAGATTTCTAGTTCATTTTCGAGATTTTAGTACTTCTTTTATTTCCTAGTATTCTTGATTTGTCTACCTCAGCTGCTTTAATAGTGGCATCAAGGTTATAGCCCAATAATTCAGCAGTTCATTTGGCTTTAATAATCAGGTTTATGAAGAAAAACTTCATACTTGCATACTTCATACTCGTTTGTACCCTTGCCCAATTTGCACAACCTGGCATCATGCAGCTATTGAAGCTACTGAGCATGGTTAAAATTAAGACAGCCTCAGCGCAATTATTTAAGATATTACAGGTTCTGAAAAGTAAAGAATTTTCAGAGTCCTGCCACAAATAGACTACATATTGATTATTGACAATCTGTGACATGCCATAACAAGCAAAAATTTAAAAAACAAATAAGCAGGCTTAAAATTAATAAATACAAATGTATTTTGACAGTTTACGAGTTAATTATACTTTCTATTTACAAAATTTCCTCAACCTTAACACAATAAGAAAAAAGTGAACTTTTAAGAAATTTGTGGGATTTCCTGGGATGAAAAGAATATACCAGGATATTTCCCAGGTAAAAAAAACAGCTGGGATCCCATTAGAGAAACTCTACTTCCTACTAAATTTAGTGGAATATTCAATGGGAATGATTTTTTTAAATCAATATTTATATAATGTTATATTAAAAGATATATATCTTTTTTTGAGCAGTCTAAGATGGTGAACCTAACAATCCTTAATATCCTGCTCAACTTGATCTGACTTATCTGACTTGACTTACAACAGTAAAGTATTATTTAAAGAATAAAAAGTGTTTTAGCAAAAATTATAATAAATTATATGATTCCAAGAGTCTATTATAATATAATATGTGTTGAAAATTCTATAACAAAGTTAATATTAACCAAAAACAAATTTATATGAAGTAATAGATAAACATATGAATAAAATTTCTTGAAAAATTAAAAAAATATACATTAGTTACTTTGAATATTATATATTTATTTAATTTAATACCAAAGATTTGATTAATGACAGTCTTTTACATATAAAGTCTTTTTTAATGTGAAAAAAACATATATTTTAGCGTAAACAATATTTTTTAACATTTTTGACTAACATTTTTGATATTTTAAAAGAAATTTTGCTTTATTTTAATATCTGATACTAATCTTATCTAATTGATTTCATTTAAAAAATTTTAACATCGTTGTTTATCATTAAAAATTTAATGTAATTTTTGTTTTTGAAATATATTAATACTTATTATAGTGAATGGTACTAATGATATAAAATTTAACTCATGATAATTCTTAATTCTTCATAATCTTAATCTGTTTGTTACTTCTAATATAATTTATTCATTACAATATTATATTCCTTATTTTATTTATTAAATTTGAATAATTCAAATAAATTTTATAATTAGTTATGCCTGGAGAAAGGAGAATAAGTTTTGTATTGCATGAAGCAGATATTGAAGGTGAATCTGAAAACAGCAGTAACACTACTCTAACTGTACAAGATGAATTGGATGACAAAAAAGGTAATATTCATAATTTCATTATTGGAAAAGTATTATAATTAAATTGTAATAAGAATTTTCTATTTACGAATTTTCAGACTTAAAAACAATTTGGCTGTAGATCTAAAATTTAAATTTCACAAAGTTTGTTGCCACTGATGGGGTGGCATTAAAGTCAGTCTTTAGCCAATAATAAATACAGTAGAACCTTGATTATCTGAACNCTTTTATTCATTTCTCGATGTTTCAAGGTCCTCTGAGTCCACAAATGTACAAATCTTCGGAAATCATTTTTTGACAAATTACCATACTTTCCCTCTATTATACATAACATAGCCGGAAAAGTAGAAATGTGAAGATACACTGACACAATATTTGATCGAAGATGTCATTTGAGATCTATTTATTCTCATGGAAAAAGTTGCTATTTATTTGAAGGATATCTAGCCTACACATTGTACAAGTAATTTGCTCTATTATAATTACAGTATCATTATGGTAAATAGTTATATTATAAGTGGCCTGAAGTGTTTTGGCTTCTGACGATAAATACATGCAGAATTTTAATTGCGTAACTATTAACACAGATGCAAGTTATTTAAGTGATGTGTATTTATTTCCAATATGCCATTAGTACTTCGGATCGTTTATATTTAAGGCCATTATACGAGTAAATATATTGTATATGTAATTTTTTGTAACTAAGTTAAAGTTTGTTAATTAAATAAAGCAGAGGCAGAACATCTTCACTTTTGATCAGGGTTTAAAATTCTAATACAGGACACCCTCAGTTCCATCTACCTCCACCCAAAACAACAGGATTTGCATTCCTCAAAAAAACCTTTAACTAAAGAAAAGAATTGCCTGACCGTTTGCACTATTGTAGTTCCACCACTGAAATAAAGTATATAAAATTATAATAAAACTAGCAGATGAGCCCAGTGTTGCTTGGGCCAAAAATAACAACAGCAAAGATTAAGATTATTAGATTATTTCATACTTCTAACCCTTCTACTACATTATATTATAGTATTTGATTTATGTTTACGAAGGTTATCTTATGTAAGAGTTTATATCACCGAGTGCCCAATCTAAAACATTTTAAAAATTCTTTAAATTGTAATTCAAACACAAATCATTTATTGTATTTATTCAGACACTTGGCAAATCTCATCATTAAATTTTATTCGGTTGATACGTGTTCATCTTATTTGTACACGTTTCGGGCATTCCTTTCCCCTCTTCAGCCAACTAAAATAAAAGTTCACAAGTTGCAACAGTATAAACAAACATATAAGGTCATGTTTTCCAAAACATGACCTTATATGTTTTCCAAAACATACTTTTTAGATTACAGATTACTGAAAGTTAAAACCATAAAATTCCTTTGCACATTTAACTTGTTATCCATTAAATTACAAATGTTTGTAAGGTTTGAACCTTTAAAACACCTTTACACACTCAACTTCTTATTATCTAAAAGAATTTTTTTTAATTTTTTAAAAAATTAAAAAAAAATTAATTATATTATTGTTATACATTTTCTTATAGATTTCAACTTGGTGAAAACAAAAAAAATACCAAAAAAATTCCATCTCGTCAATTTTTTTTGTTACACTCAAGTTTTTGTTTGTATTTAGCATAAAATTCCTAGTTAACTTAAAATTTTTTTTATTTAAAAAATGACCTTAAAATGAAGACTTCTCACATTAATTCTATCAATTATAGCTGGACTTGGCAATAAATAAATAAAAATGTTAATGGTTGAAGAGAGCAGTGGTAGGGGGAGGTGAGTTAAGTAGTTTTAGCATTAGGAGGAAGGTCGCATGATCGTGTAGAAACAGGTTGAAAGTTGATAGTGAGGTTGAGCTTGTTTCGACAAGCTAAATAAGTTCAGTATCTTGCTGGCCATCTAATGCCACACTCAGTTTATATCCAGCATTCAAACACTACTATGCTTGTATTTTTATTTCTGGAATATGGCTCGCAGAGGTTGTGTAATTTCTCTCGACAGCTTCTGTTATGTTTGTGGTGAATACACAGTGAAAAATCAATATCCCCTTTATCTGATCCCTTCTTTTTGGAAACAATGGGAGAAAAGGAAAAAAAAGCATGGGACTCTTTTAAGAATGCAGTGCATAAGTTTTTGGGGAATACTAAGGACCCTGACTACAAAACCATTGTACAATGCATGTTGTCAGCGTATGAAGCTTCAAGGATGCAAAATGAGCTTAAAAGTTCATTTCTTACATTCCCGTTTTGACTATTTTCCTGAAAACTTGGGAGCCTACAGTGAAGAACAGGGTGAAAGATTTCACCAGGATGTCCGTGATATTGAGAGATGTTATCAAGGAAAATGGTATGTCAATATGTTAGTTGACTACTGTTGGATGCTCAGTCGAGAAACCAGAGAAGGAAATTGGAAACGAGTTTGGAGAAGCATCAAAGAGAAGAAGAAAAGGTGTCATAAGAAAATATAATATATTTAGTTCATTGTAATAAATAAGAGTTTTTATCAAATATTTGTTTTTATTTTGCAAAAAACCTATACATGATGGAATGTTACGGAAGTCATTTTTAGAATCTCCAATCTTTAAAATATATAATTCAGCAAAAATATCCCATGCAGCCGGAAAAAANATTGAAATCACCTTTCTGTTTTTTTTAGAAGCCATGATTTGCACAACACTTGAATAAATCTAAATACCATGCACTGAGGTGATGTATGTAATAAACAAGGAAACAAGCCAAATCTCAATGGAAGCTCTGTACTTTAGTTATACTAATAATATATTCTAATAATACTAATATATTATAAAAATAGCAGATTGTCATTGGCAACGGCAAAAGAGTGAAAACATCATTTGCACTTGTTTGCAGAAAGTCTGTTGTTCACAGCGTACGTTATACGAGGCACCACTGTACACACAATGATTCATAAGGTCACCTCACTCATAGTCTTTAATATAGAAATATTATGAAAAGCAAATGCCCTATGCCCTTCAATTTGTTCAAATCCTTCTTCTATAGAAGTTATTCCTTGATCTACTGTTGCTTAAAAATAGTTCCTATAGAAATTTATTTTGGGAGTATTTGTACTTGTATTCGCTTCTTTGTAATTAAATAAACATTTTTGTTTTTTTGCTCTGACTTCTTTGAATACAAGAGGAATGTTGTGTTTTGTACAAATTTCATTTGCTATTAGTATTGATTTTAAGAAACCATTTTCTCTAAAATCTTTTAGAGAAAATGGAAAAGAAACTTTTTCATATATGGCTAGTGATATGACTTGTTTCTTCTTTTCAATGTTACATGTATTTTTTTTTAATCTCAGAGATGATTGTTAGTAGCTCAAATGTAAAATAGCCACATTCATTTCTTCTCTCTCTTATTGGTATGCAATATATCCCCAGTGCTCTGGACATACATATGTTGTCTTTACTGTTTCATAGCAATTGGTATATGGTACAGTTATATTTGTATGTGAGTCACACACTTATATTTCTTACTCTCTCCTCAAACAGTAGTCTGAGTTTATTAATTAAAGTCCACCAATATATGTCTGTACTAGCTGGAGTGCAAAGTTGGTTACTATGCTATTGAGAAATTGTTCTCTGTCATTCATATATTGTTTTTTGCTAATTCTGCTATTAGTTTTTTGAATTCATATTGTTATGTAGGGTTTCTCATTTCCTGGTCTTTTGCTTGTCCTGAGATTTCAGGAAAAAAGTGAACTGTTTTCCAGGATCCCAGGATAGAATTAATTATTTTTAAGATATACAAAATATCTTGAAATCAAATGATATAATTATTTTCTATTTTTTAAAGTAATTTAATACATTCTGCAACCTCCAAAATTATATTAATAATGCTCTATAAGATATATATTAAAAATTACCTTTGAATTATGTAGAAATTTTTACAAATAGAAAAAATTTATTAAAGTTTGCTGGAAACTGCATACAACAACAACAATAAAAATGCTTTGAATTCAGTTGAAAATTTAAAAAAAATGAACTTAGATCAAACTTCTAACTTAAAAGGTAATTTTCGTTTTTTAAATAAAACATAATACAAAATATTATCATAAATTTTTATAATAAGATTTTAAAAGCAAAGATGGTCAATACTCCAATTACTCAATCTGGTTCTTATTTTAGTAATGAAAAGTCCTGCTACTGTGAATGCCCTTTCTGATTCAACTGATGTGGGTGGAATCGTCTTTAATGCATTTAAGAGAAGACGGATGTTATGTGTTTTTTCACCTGTAGCCTGGAAGATTTCTAGTTCGTTTTCGAGATTTTAGTACTTCTTTTATTGCCTAGTATTCTTGATTTGTCTATCTCAGCTGCTTTAATAGTGGCATCAAGCTTATAGCCCAATAATTCAGCAGTTCATTTGGCTTTAATAGTCAGGTTTATGAAGAAAAACTTCATACTTGCATACTTCATACTCGTTTGTACTCTTGCCCAATTTGCACAACCTGGCATCATGCAGCTATTGAAGCTACCGAGCATGGTTAAAATTAAGACAGCCTCAGCTCAATTATTTAAGATATTACAGGTTCTGAAAAGTAAAGAATTTTCAGAGTCCTGCCACAAATAGACTGCATATTGATTATTGACAATCTGTGACATGCCATAACAAGCAAAAATTTAAAAAACAAATAAGCAGGCTTAAAATTAATAAATACAAATGTATTTTGACAGTTTACGAGTTAATTATACTTTCTATTTACAAAATTTCCTCAACCTTAACACAATAAGAAAAAAGTGAACTTTTAAGAAATTTGTGGGATTTCCTGGGATGAAAAGAATATACCAGGATATTTCCCAGGTAAAAAAAACAGCTGGGATCCCATTAGAGAAACTCTACTTCCTACTAAATTTAGTGGAATATTCAATGGGAATGATTTTTTTAAATCAATATTTATATAATGTTATATTAAAAGATATATATCTTTTTTTGAGCAGTCTAAGATGGTGAACCTAACAATCCTTAATATCCTGCTCAACTTGATCTGACTTATCTGACTTGACTTACAACAGTAAAGTATTATTTAAAGAATAAAAAGTGTTTTAGCAAAAATTATAATAAATTATATGATTCCAAGAGTCTATTATAATATAATATGTGTTGAAAATTCTATAACAAAGTTAATATTAACCAAAAACAAATTTATATGAAGTAATAGATAAACATATGAATAAAATTTCTTGAAAAATTAAAAAAATATACATTAGTTACTTTGAATATTATATATTTATTTAATTTAATACCAAAGATTTGATTAATGACAGTCTTTTACATATAAAGTCTTTTTTAATGTGAAAAAAACATATATTTTAGCGTAAACAATATTTTTTAACATTTTTGACTAACATTTTTGATATTTTAAAAGAAATTTTGCTTTATTTTAATATCTGATACTAATCTTATCTAATTGATTTCATTTAAAAAATTTTAACATCGTTGTTTATCATTAAAAATTTAATGTAATTTTTGTTTTTGAAATATATTAATACTTATTATAGTGAATGGTACTAATGATATAAAATTTAACTCATGATAATTCTTAATTCTTCATAATCTTAATCTGTTTGTTACTTCTAATATAATTTATTCATTACAATATTATATTCCTTATTTTATTTATTAAATTTGAATAATTCAAATAAATTTTATAATTAGTTATGCCTGGAGAAAGGAGAATAAGTTTTGTATTGCATGAAGCAGATATTGAAGGTGAATCTGAAAACAGCAGTAACACTACTCTAACTGTACAAGATGAATTGGATGACAAAAAAGGTAATATTCATAATTTCATTATTGGAAAAGTATTATAATTAAATTGTAATAAGAATTTTCTATTTACGAATTTTCAGACTTAAAAACAATTTGGCTGTAGATCTAAAATTTAAATTTCACAAAGTTTGTTGCCACTGATGGGGTGGCATTAAAGTCAGTCTTTAGCCAATAATAAATACAGTAGAACCTTGATTATCTGAACCTCTATTATCCGGATTTTCGATTATCTGGATTGTTCAAAATAAACAAAAATTTTACGAATTTGCTGATTTGCACCTGGTGAATTATGATACTGTTTATGTACGTGATGGAATGCATAACTTTTTTTGTTTCAACAATGTCTCACCTGGCACAGTGGCCGTAAACTCTTAAATATATTTTGCATTGTAATAAAAATATAACTTGACATACGTATTTATAAATAATTTTATTTTCAAATTACATCATTTCTATGACCAAAGGCGGCGTAAGGCATGGGCAACATGGGCCACTGCCTATGCCTTGCGGTCTGAAGGGCCTCACATTTCGAAGGTTTATGCATTACTTAAAAGCC